CTTCCGAATGTGAACAAAAACGCTAGGTGATTTTTTTGAGGTTTAAGGTGGCACTCACCAGTTATTATGTACTTTTGAGAGAGTGATGTATGTAAAATGAATTTGTTTGTATTTAAGTCATGCACAGTGGAGAGAATATTGGCATACCTCTATGCTACTTTCATGCAATATGGCTGACATTTCTTTGGATATTGTATTTTTGGAAATTGTAAATGATGTTAGCACAATGCTAATTAAAATGACCGCTCCCTTGTGCTCCAAAAATCAACCTGAATTTTTCTAAAGTATACTATCCTTGGCATCTATTAAAATGAATTTTGACAGACTAAACAATACCAGCTTCTGGAATTGCAATGAATGAATTACCAAATACATAAAATGTAAAAGAAGTTATCGGCTCTTTTTTAAATACAATTTACCTATGAAGTTCGGAAAGTGAAAATGAGAAAGTGGGACTAGCAGTTTTTGCAGACCAAGACCAAGCTTTATACCCTATAACCCATATTACACCCATCAATCACACACAAAATATAGAAAATTGAAGATTCTTTGAGCAATACCTAAGATATACAATTTGTTTTTAAATAGCCAGTATAACTAGTGAGGAAACCCGGGGAAATTCTATATCTTTAAAATTCTCACCCAATGCTAAATATGAAAATATAGATGTAGCTATGGCTTATAGATTTCTAGGGACATAGAAACATCTCTCAGTATCCTCAACATGTCTAAACAGGCTGGTTGAGACATAATGTTTCTATAGATTAAATTCATGTAGAGACAGCCATGTCGAGTTTTACAAAAACAACGTTTTTATGTTTAGATAGGCTTCAAAAGATCAGAGTTCTGCAGACACATCATATAGTTACTGCATCAACATAAACACAAGCTGAAACATGCGTTTGTCTGCATATAACATTCAGGATTACCCATGTCAGAAACTGCCTAAAGGACAAAATACAATTTTATAATCAAAAGAGCTAATGAATAACTCACCAAATTAAAGAGTTGATAGAAGTCTGCATTAAAATTTGTCACTTGGAATTTACTAGGATTTTCAACTAAGTTAATAACTTGGAATTTCAAGAATAAAAATGCTTGATAAAAAATACTGTTGTTACCTTCATCCTGATACTTGCACTTTGACTTTTCTGTTGAGAAATGCATTTACTTGCGTTACATACAAATTAAGGAAACGTTGGCAAAGAGTGTGTCGGGGAGGGATGGCAGTAATCGTATTATCATGAGAATATTATTCAGCCACTAAAGGGCTTATACAATTCGTAATGATTCTCGTGAAATTTCTTTTGCACAATGCGATAAAGAATAGTTTAAGACTGTCATAAAAAAATTTGTATACCTTTCTGCGATAGATGTCACTATTTTCCCAGAAATTTAATAATCGTAAATAATTATTGATAGCTTAACATATGCATACGCTGTATTTTTTTAGACCTGTTTTGGGACCATACTGCCAATGTCAACATAATAAAAGAAACATGACTTTGATCCATATAATGTCTACCATTTTGGTCTTGCTAGTCAGATGCACTGTATAAGACAATGAGGGTAAGATCTCAACTGAAATCTTCAGAAATAATCATCTCTTTATCCTCAAAGGTAGATCACGTGATGTCAAAACCATTGCAATGACATTCCGAAATGTTTTTGTGTCTGACTATTCAATAACATCATTAAACCATCTAAAGACAATGATAAATTTGGTATAACAGAACTTGATTCACTTTACAGAGACGGACATGAAGTTACTTACAATTAAGCTTACATTTATGCATACTGAAAATCTAGAAATATATCTTAAAAAAGGAAATAAAATATATCTTGTTAAGAAGAAATGAGAAAAGCAAAACAAATAATTTTGTCAAGAAATTACTGAACTAAATAATAGCATGAAAGCCACAACAATATTACGGAACAAATAAAGAAAATACGAATGATATATGCCTTTTGAGTCTTCGAAGTACTTAATGATGCAGCTGAAATATGTTTAGAAAATACGAATAATAATAATGATATTGATAAACGTTGGTTTTTACGTCTTTATAGAAAAGCAAAAAGAAAAGATACAAATTAGAAATAAATATCTACAAGAACTATTCATTTCAGTCAACAAAAAAATCTTCAAAGGTCAAGGAATAACGATAAAGAAACAATGAATTTTTAAATAAATTAATGAAGTATTACGATTAAAACTGAAAAAAACCCCGTAAAAGTGAAAATCCAAAACATGTTTTAAAGATTGTTAACAGTTTGGAAAATAAAAGTTTAGTTTCAATCATTATATTTAATACACTATTTGTTCTTCAAGAAATTAAACAAATAAATTAAACAACACGGATGAAATTGATATAGATACAGGCAGTGAAGAAGCTATATTGAAGTCCCCAGTCACTGACAAAGCTATATCAAAACCTAGTCACGAAAAAAACTATATTGAAGTCCCCAGTCACTGACAAAGCTATATCGAAACCTACAGTCACGAAAAAAGCTATATTGAAGTCCCCAGTCACTGACAAAGCTATATCGAAGCCTACAGTCACGAAAAAAAGCTATATTGAAGTCCCCAGTCACTGACAAAGCTATATCGAAACCTACAGTCACGAAAAAAGCTATATTGAAGTTCCCAGTCACTGACAAAGCTATATTGAAGCCTACAATCACGGAAAAACCTATGTTGAAGTCCACATTCACTGACAAGGCTATATCGAAGCCTACAGTCACAGAAAAAGCTATATTGGAGTCCGCAGTCAAAGACAATGCTATATTAGAATCCAGAGTCATGGAAAAATAAATCCTAAAATCAATTAAATTCCTGCAAAAACAATACGCCACTATTTCTAAATAAATATATCAAATTTACATCTGATATTGTGGCTACTACTTATATTTCATTGTATAATCTGATATTTGAGACAAGGAACATCCCAGATTCTTGCCTTTAACAAATCATAGATTTAATTTATCAGCCGTCTCAGTAAAATATTTGATGCAATTTTAAATCTTAAAATTAAATACATAATTAGGTTATATAATATGTTAGAATGAATACTACTACAAGAAATGTTTAAAGTATACTAGAAAGAATATTAAACTAATTTTTAACTTTTACTAGAATTAATGCTCTGCTAATTATTATTATATACTAGAATGAATGCCAGACTAATTTTTATTATATAGTAGAATTACTACACTTTTATATTTAAATATGCGAGAATAAATACTACGATTATTTAAAAAAATATATTAGAATGAATATTAGACAATTTTTTTACAATAATATACAGGAATGAATACGAGACTGATCGTCATAATCTACTAGAAAGGATAGAAATAAATACGATGCTAATTGTTTTAACATGCTAAAATGAATACTACGATTATTTTAAAAATATATTATAATGAATATTAGACAAATTTTTATAATGTACTAGAATGAATATTAGACTAATTTTTATAATATACAAATGAATTTTAGACCAATTTTTATAATTTACTAGAATGAATGCTAAATTTTATAATATACTAGAATGAATATTAGACTAATTTTTATAATATACCAAAAGTAATACTAGACTAATTTTTGTAATATACTAGATTGAATATTATACCAATTTTTATAATATACTAGAATGAATACTAGACTAATTTTTATAATATACTCGAATGAATAATTGACTATTTATAATATACTATAATGATTACTAAACTAATTTTTATAATTTATTAGAATGAATACTAGACTAAGTTTATATTTTACTAGAATGAATACTACTCTAATTTGTAAAATATACTAGAATCAAAAATACGAAAATTGTTTGAATAGATTAAAATAAATGCTTCGGTTTTTTTAAAAATATATTATAATGAATAAAACACTAACCTTTACAATACCAAAATGAATACAGAACTAATGTTTTTAAAATATAATATACTAAAATGACTACTACACTAATTATTTCGTATGCTAACATGAATACTAGATGAACTTGCACAACATACCAGTATGAATAATACTCTAATAGTTTTATATAATAGAAGAAAGCCTGGATAGATTTCCCGTTGGAGATTAAGCCAAAAAAAAATTAAATATCTTCAAAACGTGTCGGAACAACATATTTTTTTTTTTTAATTCAGAAAACAAAACTATTTTCTTCTTTTTAGTCTAGGGTGAAACTCAGCAACGATATAAAAGAAAATTCCTTTGGACAATTGTTCAAATTTATATCAAAAGTCCTGCGTTATATTTTCCTGATAAACATGTATATTTTCCCTAAGTTTTGTGAACTTAGGCAAGGAGAACATATATTACTGGTATTAGTGTCATTGTTTTTTTTTTAACATCTACCATACTAATCAATGTTCAAGAGTGAATATGTAATTTAACAGGTTTTGAGCATACAATTTTTAACAATTTTGCTATTTTGTTGTGGAGTTCCGGTGTTTGAAAATAATGAAATGATTGAAAAATGAGCGCTAAGAAAAGAATTCGTTAGGACCAGAACCAGACTCTGAGAAAAGTACACATATTTATATGCTACATACAAAAACGGGCCTGTGAATCATAACATTAAATTCTGCATGATTGGATTTTTTTTTATATCTCAATGAAAAATTGATACATCTTTAAATTAAAAATTATATAATATCATGTACAACGAACCGAAAATGGGTCACACGTACAACTGTGTTGAATGAGTGTAAAATACTTTGATTTTGTTTTACAAAATATCGATCTCTGTGTGTGTGATTTTGATTTTTAACGTAGCTTTAACAATTTTTTCGGTCATATCGCTACAATGTCTGCAATGTGGTAGTTTATAGTGATGTCTAGCACTGGGGCATCATGCTGCAGACATGTTGCATGATGTCCCACCCAGTCACATTATCCTGACACCAGGCCGACCAGTCTTAACACTAATCTCTTAATGCTGAGCGCCAAGCGATGAAGCTGTTAGTACCATTTTTGTAAGTCGTTGGTATGACTCGACCGGGGATCGAACTCACGACCTTTCGCATCAGAGGCGAACGCTCTAACCACTAGTCCACTGGAGCGGTAACAATCGATCTCTTGTGTAAGTACTCTTTAAATAACACAGATTTTGCGAAAAGTATCCCGACCCTAAACAATCTGAATATTCAAGTGAATGGAAGAAAGAATGAAGCATATAAAAGTAAATCGTTTATAGTGCAGATATTACATGTAGATAAATCCAGTAAACACATGTAATAAAATAATTTAATATTTTATTGATTTATCGATTTGTATTTATGTTATTTGTTTTGATCTATTAACAGTATGACACCATAAATATTTCAATTAATTTATTCCGTTTGGATGCAAACAGCAAAACTTGAAACTATTTACAGCACTAAATTATTACCGTTACAGAATCTCCAGAGACGTGGTCTCTAAATAGAGGACAAAGGGTAATATGTAAAACTGATCAATTTGTGCATTACCAATCTGCTTTCAAATAACACTCGGATCGTATTGGTTGAGTTAGTTACATGAGATGAATTATTAAGTAATTTGAAATAAGTGTAAGGTTAATAGATCTGTTATCATGCTGTCAAAAGTACAATGGTTGGACGCTCGGTTACCAGGCTTGTTCAGCACCTTAATGGCCGACGCCATTGCTGACACCCATCGGATAGGAGGCGATAACTATGTAAGCACTCTCAAAAAGAAAGGCCAATATTTGTCTAAAGTTATGAATTATATTTTTAAAAAGTAAATTAAAAGTTTTATTCTGTTCAATTCTGTTCTGATTATACCTCTAATATCTCAATTTATTAAATTTCGACTATTTTCTGATCGACGTTTGTAGTCAGGTACTTTCAAAATCTATTCTAGGAATTAGGTCGTGGACTAGCTAACGTGCTACCTGATAAGGAGACGCGTATTAGAAAATTCACTTATCTGAACATAGATGGTAGATAAGTAACAGATTTTCAGTCCGTATTTACTCACCTTTTCTCATTTTAAAATCGTGTTCTAAAAGGTTATCCTGAGCATGCTTTAATGACCTTGCTTTTGATTTCTAGATACAAGTAAACATTAACCTTATTATCTTTGTTAGATTAGATGCATGTACTCAGAATTATGAAACTAAATATACATGGAGCGCTAGATTATTTAATGAGTTTATATAATAATTAAGCTCACCTACTGCTACGGAGAAATTTTGATGAAATATTAGTGTAAAACATGAATCATTCTATTACTCTCTAATCGCTTAATTAATTCTTTAAGTTATTTGCTAGGTGGCGTGGACATTTTTTTAGTAACTCCAAATTTCTGAGAACCATTATAATACTATGTAAAGAGGAATAACGGAAATTTAATAGATGTCGAAACTGATAACTGATATTGTCAAGTATGCTCCTTACAAGAGGAAGTCGACGAGTCAAGTGTTTTCTGTATTACTCTATACATAATTCGTGTTTGAAACAGCACATTGAAAAGCTGAACATCGATGGAAATACACAAACATCAAGTTTAAAGTTTGTAACGCAATATTTTGTAATGATGGCGGCTTCTAAAGAGCTGCGGTACAAAACAAAACACGTACTCTATCAGTGAATTTGAATTGTTTTTAAAATTGTTGATAGTACGGATGACACATTTTCCAAAGTAGATAATAATGATGGTAGTGATATTTGCAATATATATAATTCTTTTGAACGCTCATGTGGCTAAAGCGGTTGGCATATGCGCCTATTATGCGGGAAGTAGAATGTTCGAGTCCCGGAAGAATCACACCAAAGATAAAATGATAGGAGCAGCTGCCTTGCTTAGAGCTTAGAATTAAGAGATTAGTGTTAGGACTGGTCGGGCTGGTGTCAGGTTAATGTGACTGGGTGGGGCATATTTCCACATGACTTAGGCATGATTAATGGCTGTTTTAACCGATGATTTTAGATCACATGCTGGCTCGTGTGACAGGGCTAAGGGATCATTAATTTGAACATCGTAGTAAACAAAATGCTATTTAATACGTGTGCTAGAATATCTAAGAATCATATTTCCATACTGGAAATAAATTAAAAATGAAGGGCTGTTTACAACTCAGCAAACATGTGGGCCGAATATGATCTTGATTATAGTTAGTGTTTACAAAACGTCTCAACCAAGGTTAACTAAAACTAGTGACAAAGCAACCGTTACGTTCTAATCAGGTCAGGTGAATTTTTCAAAAATGATTAAAAAACAATGAAAATTATCATTACAATAAAATATAATGAAACAAAAATAAAATAGAAAAAGGAATTGAAAACTACCACACAAGCAGTTTAATTACATAATCGTAACAATACGATCATTACTTATGTTGATAACTTGTGCTATTAATTCGGGGTGGGTGTGGGAAAATATTGTTATTTTGTTCTAAGGTCCTTGATTATTCTACAAGTATCGATGATTAAACGTTTTTAAATTGGAGATTTTGTAATAAGATGCCTAAAGAAGCATTTATTTTTTAACAGTGGGAAATTAAATAATATATTGCCAGATAAATTTGTAGGTGTGAATGATCAATATCAAGAGAAATGTCCTTTGCAACCTTCATTTGCCGAATTCATTAATTGCATTGAAGTCAAAGGTATAGACAAGGATCCTTGTGGTTACATTTCATTTGGTTTTCATTGAATACGTAGAAAACTACAATTTTTGGGTAAATTTAAACATTGCAAAATTATGGCTTTCTGTACTGGTGAAATATTCTTCTTTAACAGCTTACAGTTTGAGATTGTTGATAACCCTATATTTTATTGCGTCTGGTAAAGCAAATCCGTGGGTGTCACGCAGCTCTTCTAATTTAATGATTATGGATGATCTGATAAGGACTGCATTTTTTTGTGAAATCACTGTCTCTTGGGAAGGCGTTCCTTAAGCCGATCAACAGAAACTTGTGCAGGGATTTTTGACCTTTGTTATCCTGTAGGTAGTTGACTGGCTGCTCTTATATTTTCGACCTGTGCAAGCATTTGGTCATGCACTCCGACTTGTTGGGCGGGCATGAAGAAACCACTCTGCAAGATTTTACCCTTGAAGTATGGGGATCTAAGTGTGCGCACAGTACATTATGTATTTAAACGGCGCTTTAGTAGATATACCACATGCTTATTATTTTTCATGTCTGGAAGTGGCAAGGGAGGAGAGGGTACTTGAGGAGGTGGTGCTACAAAGTTGAAAGGGCTCTATGTGATTCATGATAAAAATTTGTTTTTTTTGCCGAAGTTGAAATGGTGTCTTATACCTGGATAATCTAGAAAATAATTTTGAAAGAAAATCTCTGTCTTTTTGGTTGATTTCAATTTTGTTTATATTAAAGGGTCTGTCCTAAAGTCATAAGCCTAGTTTAGAGTTTTGGTCTTCTGCAATCAATGTCCCCTAGTATGACAGGGCCTAATGGTGTGGGGTTTTAAACACCTCACATTGACTAATGTACAGGAGAGTTGTTAACGTATGCTTATAATTTTCCTTTTTGACCGGGGGATATCGTGTATCAAATTGGTAATCTCCTCGTGAGGTGGTTCCTGATGGTCTGAGGAGGCAGGGTACAGTTTCGTAATTTGGCCCCTGGCAAATTTCTTAACTTAAGGCTATGGTGTGACTTTTTCAGCAATTATTATCTACTAATTAAATATATGGATATATTTCTGACTTAGGTGTTTAGGGCTTGTGTTGTTCTTGAAATTGATGTCAGGCATGTACATCTTCCATAGTTACTCTGCAATATGTTGATAGTGAAATACTAATAGTTGTCTACGAAGAAGAGCTAGCCTCTCGTAACAGTAAACATGTGGGTTTGGGACAAGGAGCATATCTCAAAAACGGCTTGGATGACAACTATTTTCAACTGCATCAGCCTGTTTAGTACACACTGTTTGGCAGAATTGTAATCTAGGAAAAGGGCTTGTGTTTGCACTGTGAGTACCACATGGTGTCAAAAATGACCTTCGGACATGAAAATTGCAGGTATAAATTTGGGGTTGGGGTGCATAAACTTCTTCTGCTATGAACTGCCACTGACTTCTCTGGTCAAGTGGATACTATTTTTATGCTTTGTTTTAATATAGGTATCTCAAAATATGGACATTCTTGACCTCACTTGTGTATATGATTTTTTGTACTAGGTCACTGATTGCGGCATTAAATTTGTACATAACAACTGGCCCCTGCCCCCTGAACTTATGTACTTAGGTAATAGATTTTAACTGCAGCCATATGCATGTCTTTGACAATAGTTTTATTTATTCCATTGGGAAGTATAGTATCATATTCAGGCCTGGCGCGTGGTGGTTTTGTGTGTGTGCGATGAATGTTTGGCGCCTTTCCATGAGTATTTTCAAAGTATTTTACGAATAAATTGCGAATAAAACGAACAGGAAATGAAAAGGCGCATGTGTGCATCGCGCACGTCGTATATGCAACCAGCCGAAACTGATCATATTGTAACGTTGAGGATACGACATCGAAACTAAGAAACACCTGTGTCCAATCATGCTGGGATAGTAAGAGTGGTCGTTCCTTTTTCTTGGCTGCTACTTTTGAGCTAGCTATTTCTGTACCGTAGTTTGTTAGTAGTAGTAGATGTAATTATCAAGAGAAGGAAACTAGGTTGCAATTATGTTAGTCAATACGCATTCAAGTTTTGGAAGGCAAGAAAAGATTGATCATATCGTGAAATGAGCTATATGTTTTGAACGCCTGTTATACAATGTGTCTATTATTTCGCCTAATCAAATTTGACCAACACGCTGGCAAGAAGTATAGGCAATCGCGGAAATCTCAATATCAAGCTTACATCAAACTATCCCAGACTCGTATACTGTATAGCTTGTAAACTGAAACTTCCCTTAGTTCGACTTTGTCATATTTTCCCTGTTGGTAGGCAAATGAAATTGCAAATGAACTGTCCACAATGAAATCAAAGGAACAATAAGAATGGCAAGGACCTCAGACTTCAAATGCCGATTGCTCTTAAAGCAGGGTCTAAGTGCCTAATCGGCATATTAAAATTGAACTGATGATATTTCGTGGACTGATA